GAGAGAGAGAGAGAGAGAGAGAGAGAGAGAGAGAGAGAGAGAGAGAGAGAGTTGTCCAGCCATGCACTCCGAGAGATAGAGTGAGGGTACTTCCATAGATAGGATGGGTAGAATTGAAATGAATCTTCCACTAGAATATGGAAACATACACTGCTCTCCAGCCATGCGCGCAGAGAGATAGAGAGAGGCTGCTTCCATAGATAGGATGACCAAAATCCGAATGAATCTTGCTAGAACATGGAAATATACACTGCCACTTTCTCTTTTTTTTTTTTTTTTGTGTGTGTGTGTATGAGAGAGAGAGAGAGAGAGGGGGGGGCGGGGGAAGAGAACAGGCAAGTCTCCAACCTCTTGGCTGGCCTCACGCTCGATAGCATGAGCAAAATCGAATGAATCTTTTGCCAGAACATGGGAATATACACTGCCAAAAATATATATATATATATATATATACTGCCACACTTGTGGAAACAGTCCACAAACCTGCGGCCAAAAAGATCCCGTTCAGCAGCCTTCCGCCTGTCGAGTGTTCCACACAATTGTTGCATAATCGCGCCGACCAAACTCCATTCACACAGGCCCGGGCCAACCTCGGCCTGAGCAGTTGCCGCCAGAGCCACGGCTCGCTTACACTGCCGCCTGGGTCTTTTCACCCCACACTTTCGCGTGGGACGATCGGGTTTTGCCTGAGACTCTTCCTTTTTTTTTACAAGTACTTGTGTGAGGCTTTTCACGCATCTAAAAAAAAACGACATGGCCGTTAACGCGCTGGGTTAGGAAAGAAAATGTCTGGCCAGTCGCTGTAGCTGCCGGCACAACTGTGTTATTTGCACAAAAGACAAAGCAAGAAAAACAACACTCACCCGCCGGCTGGAAATGCGCATTGTGGTTCGAGGTTGTGGGTTCAAAGCTCGACAGCCTCGCGCATGGACACCAGCGGGCTGTGCACACCTTTCCCTTGGGATTGGTGTACAGTAAGATTTACAGACACTGCCGCACCACCCAAGGGACTCAGTCCAGGATTGTTGTATGTTGGGTCCAGGCTATGAGGGTTTTCCCGAGGTTCTTGGTCTGTGGGTTGTTCTGATGTCATTGAATGTTCACTTGTCTTCTCGACTCTTCTGGTCTAGTATAGCACACAAATGGACTAGTTTCCTCTTCTGGTCTTAGACTAGTATAGTGCACGAATGGACTAGTTTCCACGGTAGCTCAGCGGGTTTGATCTGGGGGCTGCATGGTTGAGGTTGCGTGTTTGAATTCAATTAGGTAGTGAGATGCAGGCAGGGGTACAAAGACCTTAGGACTCTGCTTAGGGTGTATGTAGGGCCGTGAGGTTACGAGGGATCCCGTTGCTTCCGGGGGATCAGGACAGGATCTACAGGTGGCGAGGGAGGGGTTAGGTAGGAGAGTCCTGAGACAGGGTCGCCCGTAGATCGAAGTAACAGGAACGGTTGGAGGGCATAGTACGTACTGCTGATCTATGGCCAGTGTTGTCTGAGATAAGGGCCTTCGTAGGGGTCTTGTGCTGATGGATCCCGTAGGCATCAAATACGGTAGATAGTCTATGTGGCATACTGATACCACACAGTCCCCA